AAAGGCGGTCCAACAAAGTATTAGAGTGAATTACCTTTTTTTTTGGTGGCGATTTTTTTTTGGACAGGCAGTGTATTTTTGTATCACATACATAGTTATTTGATTTGGTTATGAATTGTTCCCATTCAGTCTGTTAGCTAGTTACCCACTCCTTTCTAGCCTAATACGCTGTGTCAACAACATAAGCCAGTGTGGCTGGCCAAACCTTGTCCTAATGGTGATCTGTAGAGTTAAGATCAAGACTGATCCCAGCTCATCTACACCAAACTCTCTTATAAAATTATGGAACTTGTTTTGTGTGTCGGTGCACAGTAGTGTCTGAGGGGGAATGTTTCCACAAATTGTTCCAAAATAGTGAGAAACATTGTATTTGCTGGAACTAAAGTGCAAAACACATCTCCTAAAAAGCCCAACACATTATCGCCCCTCAACAAAACTCTCTTGGCATAATACAGTCAGACAAACCAAACCCTTAAGGGCTGGTTATCCTTCCACAGCAGTGTGTCGCAGTGAGCTTGTCACAGATATGTTTGATTTATGCCCAATATTGAAGCGTGGTCTGCGCTATGTTATTCCGCGCCACAACGCGAGAGGGACAATCAGGAACTAGCTGAGGCGGCGAGGAAGTGGGGGAAAGTTTGTCCGACAACGGAGGAACATGAGGGTGAAAAAGAGCAGGGATCCAGGTGGAAAAAGGGTCCCAGCGTTCTCACGCACCTCGCTCTTCTAGCTGGTCCATCTTCACGAGTCATTTTCCACAATCGTGGTGATACAAACACAACAAGTCGGTAAGGTACCAAACAGAAAATATGCATAGTGTGAAACGGATGTAGATTTGACCAATCAGAGGCCTCCTGTCTGCAGCACTGCAACACGGTCACCTACAATGTCATTTGCGTTGACTGCAACACACACGCAGACGACCTGGTTTCTAAATCATATATCAGCCTTTACTCATCTATCAGGCTGTCTAATGCAAAAGCTTGATTTATCACTTGGTAAAGGGAGAGGGTATTGCATTTGGTTTATTTATAGTTATTGACTGAATACGTATTCATGTATAATCAATTTAAACCATATTTCTGTAACCTAAACATAATATTTTAACACGAAGGACGTAAAAGAGGGATTTTCCATACCAGACATGAAAAACAGCATTAAATGCACAATAGCATTATGACGCATGACACAGAAGCCGCTTGCACAGGAAACAAAGCAAGGAGGGTAATAAAAAAGTCAAGATGTAAGTCTGTCTCAAGATTTTCAGATTTTCTGATTGGAAAATTCTTTTTTACAACAGAAAGATTTGGATGGAATACATTGGTGTGATTACGCCAAACTTTGACTAATAATAATTACTGAAAACTGTGATTCTGAGATATTTCTCTGTTGTTTCCTGAACTTTTTGTTGCAGCTGTACAGAAAGAAATTAAACAACTTTGAGGATTTTGGTTAAAACCATTCGAAGAGAGAGGAATAAAGCAAGAAAAATCATCACGGGAATTCCTTAAAAGAGCTTAACATCTACACAATATTCTGTAATGTCATTAATAGTCGAGAG